ATGAACTGACCCCAACCCCTGTTCCCCATGCCCCTGTGCTGCTGGGGTGGGGAGGTAGAGAAAAATTGGGAGTAAAGTAAAGCCCAGGAAGAAGGGAGGGGTTGAAGGTTGTTTAAGATTTGGGTTTATTTCTCATTAGCCTACTCTCATTTGTTTGGTAATAAATTAAACTAATTTCCCTAAGTCGAGTCTGGTTTGCCCCTGGTGGTAATTGGTGAGTTATCTCTCCTTGTCCTTATCTTGACCCATGAGTCCTTCGTTATATTTTCTCTCCTCTGTCCAGCTGAGGATAGGGAGTGATAGAGCAGCTTCATTATTACAAAGGTACTCACTCATTAAAGTCACGTTTATATAGGCTGACACTTACTTGGTGTTTTCCACCAGACCATTGTCCAAAATGTTCCATTTCTTCTACCAATTCGTCACAGGCAGCATCAGAAAATATGGGAAACCAAAACACATCTGGACATGGCTATGAAAGCGAAAAAAAAAAATTAAAAAAACTACATTCATCCCTTTCAGTGGAGTTAAGTTTTAACAGCTATCTTTTTTCAACTGCTGAAAAGGACACCTTCGTTTTTCTTGGTCACTAAAGAATATCAGCTGTTCTCATCTGAGCCATAATTCAGATACATTTAAATAATTAAGTTTTGTCTTGATCCACAAATACATTCTCACAGAACGAAGCAAAAACTACAAGCTACCTTGTAAACCATGACCCAGCATTAACAGCTTCATCAGTGTACCCACATATTCTGTGCTTTGTTGCTCTAAATAACAACCCTGATCTTCTACATTACAAGCTATTATGAAAAACAGTTTAAAACTTAATATTGTTTTAAACACAGAAACAATTTATCCCAGCTTCTTAAGGAAGCAAAGTTCATTAAATCACTGTCCCTACTTGTCACAGAACTGATCATCTAACACTGGTACAGCAATTACCATCTTAGAAGTGCTCTGTCCAGATCAGTTACATGAAAGCAAGCAGCCAGGTAGACAAAAACACAAAAATATCCAACCAAACAAAAAAACAACACACAAAAAGATGACTTTTGCATGTTCAGCAAAAGGCTTTACCTTGGATTCATGGCTGTCAGATCTTAGGAATTCACAGGGAAAGGTACCCCTCAAGGAAAGTGTCTAGATGAGCTTGCCTTTACCAGATACCAGAAATCACTGCAATCTCCTACAGAAATTTTATTAGGCTTTCTGCTACAGAAATTTCATTAGGCCTTCTGCTAGTGGTACTAACTAGTTCACATAAATAAGCTAAATAAATGTGTGTTTTGGAGAAGGCAATTACTTGGACAACTACGTTATTCTGAGCAACCTAGCAATTATTTTTTGGACTCCTCTCATCTAGTTTTCAAAATGCAAAAAGTCAGTTCTGATACAAAACATCAAAAAGCTGTTCAGCCACACACCAAAACAGTATTTGCATGGAAATAGTTACTGTATGCCAATTTATTATCAGTCAGTCCCACAAATTTTAAGAAAACTACTTATACCCACCTGTTCTACTATATTATCAGTGAAGATTTTTGAGTAGTTGGGATTTATATAGGTTTCCTTCCAGTCCTAAAAACCATGATTTTAAAACATTAAATCAGAACAAATTAATTTATAAGTGAAAAAAATAATTTATATCCTATTTATTTGCTCTACTGAAAGCATTGGAAACAATTAAACAATTTCTTATACCCATAAATGAACTGGTTCTCATCATGTCAAAAATCATGAAACCTGTTACATCAGGGCCATATCTCCAACCCCTTACTCTGGTCATCAGTTGGCTTGCTGATACGATACATTGTCATTTGTTTAAATGGTTGGTAGAGAACATCTTTTAGTATACAACCAATATTTAGCGTGTAATAAACAAATGTTCTCCATGTAAAGTCTTTAAATCCCAAGTCCTTTCTAATACATAAACTTTAAATTTTTTTTCAAATAAAATAACTATTTCCTCCATAGTTAGATGCATACCACAGGATTTTCAAATATCTGCCAGAGGTCATTGTTGTAGTGAGAGGTATTGTAATTGGCTGTAGAAATAAGTCTTCCAAATTCATGTCTGTTGGTAATGTACATGAAAACACCCTATACCAAGTAGAGAAAATGTCATTAGCAAAGCTGTCCATCTTAGCAAAAAATGATGTTTTTAAAAAATATGTTTATGCCTGCATTTTCATAAAATACATCACACACTTGTACATACATATTATACGTGTGCTGTTCATTTTGCATCTTTATTTTCAAATGGTTGATTCTAATTACCAACTAGTGTTCACAGTTTCTTGTTTACAAGCATTTGGTTGAATTTATTTTCTAAACACATTAAACCAAAACATATATTGTTCATAAGGTAAACCCATATACAGTTATAGAAAGGAAAAAAACAGAGAAGTGATTGGTTGATTTGTTTTCCAGAAAACTTAAGCAGACACACTGGAAGCACCTGTTCTCAAACTGAAAATACACATATAAGGAAACCAACATCTAACATTTAGTTCCTGATTAAAAGCTGAAAGAATAAGCTAATAATAAAAGGACTAATGGAAGTCAGAACAAGAAACTTATTTCAGATTATTCACTACGTGATCCTTCTGGTGAATTGGCCTGAAATAAAAAGATATTGGCAAACACAGCATATAAAAATATTCAGATCAAGGTAGAAACAGCTGAGCACTTTGAAGTATGTTCACCTAAGCAAACATTGCAAAATATGTGCAAGATACCAAGTGTGGTAAGACAGAACTTTATTATTAAGGTATTAACAGAAGATATTAACAAAACTCTCTTGATTAGAAATAGTAGCAGAAAATAGTCTTTAAAAAAGAAACTTAGGTTCTGTGGGGTTTTTTTAGTTTACTGTTTTTCAGACTAAAACTTCATTTCTGAATTGTTTGTGACTTTTGGATTTGCAGCAGATCAAGACATTACCATTTGGATACTTCAGTATTTCTGTCTATGTTTTTGTCTGAAAAAGAGTTAAACTGTTAGAAAGATAATGATTATGTTAAACACATGCCCAGTTTTGGGCACTTACCAAATCATAACATACCTGCAGCAGGGAGAATAAGGAGGGTCTGGGTCAAGAAAAACAGCTTGAAGTGACACCAATTTCACAACTACCCTGTGTGGTCACTGAGGGGGCCTGGCAGACCTGCTAGTGATTATAGTTTTAGTCCTCCCTAGGACTGCTGAATCAGTTTTAGCTACAGAAGCACAGCTTCAGCACACCTTGACCTCAGAAGCACTAATAAACCTCCCTGAGGAAACAACAAGACTCTCTAAGATGCTCTGAGCTGGTCACGAAGAACATGTTCCTGGCAAAAACTTGAATTTTAGAAGACTGAAGAGAAAGCTAGAGCAGTATTTCATTAGAGTAAGTGGAGAGAGGAGAAGTACCTTCCTGTGGTAGAATAATACTGCACGTAATAACAACTCATGAATAAAAAAAAAATAAAGCAACACCTTTGGGGGTCTGAGCATATGGAATGTTTCCGAAGAAGGGGAGTCTTTTTCCCTTTGTAAAGTCTAAAATGAAGGAGAATCATCACATCAGTTTTCTGATACATAATCTTTCTCTTTTTCCAACTACTATTAGGTTTCCACAGTTACATTGGGGAAATCGCAGCCTCTGATCAAAAGCTGATATGCCTTTACAGACAACATGCATCTCCAAGCAAAGCCCATAATAAACATATCAAAGCTGTTTCCACCAGCCCCTTCTTATCTGCTGCAATACAAAAACAAGCATGTACCAGACCATCTTACAGCACAGACTGAGAAAGAGGAAAAGAGAAAGCAATTTTCCGATGAGCCAGTCAGATTAGTTTAACGAGCACATGGGAAGCACAGGTTTGCAATAACTGATGCTGAGAAGGTTTCAATACAGCAGAATTGGATGGGGATGTTCTGAAGAATCAGTACAAAGGAGATCATGCCTTGTTATGAGGGAATAAAAAAATTAATACTTGCCAACTTTTCTTGTTCAATTCAGCAAAATTATTTTTCAATGCTATAGTGTCTGGAAATAGGTCTGGTTTAGGTCTTATTTGTTTCTGTGCTGAAACTAGTATAAATATCAGTAGAAATGTGGATTTATATATTCATAATTTTACAGTACAAATAAGTTTTCTCTCATTACTTACAGCTTAATGCAAGTAACAAATTTCTGATATAGCTTTAATCTATTTGGAAAAATATATAAGTAATTCATGCTCCCTAAGAAGATTCCTTCCATTTCATAAATCACTTACGTTTTTTATATCAACACTCCCCATCATTAGTTTAAACACATATCTACTTCAATATAAAATTGCAAAATATTCCAACTTAGTTGGCTAGAAGTTGCACACTGTATAAAAATGTGCACAATAGAGATGCTCTAAATGCACTGATAAGTTTGAAAGCATATACAGCAGAGAAGTTGAGCCCTCTTTCATCTGTTGTGGTTGTGTCAACAAGGAAGGTATTTTAACTTCAAAAGGAATTGTCTGTGAAATTAAATAAAAACCTTCATGCAGTCAGTGCACCAGCGCACTGGCCCTGCAAAAACCTCTGTTCCAACAATTTAAAGAAACACACCTAAAGTGTTCTATGTCACAAAAATTGGCCAGTACTTTGAATTAGAAATAAAAATACAATATCCAAGATCAATAAAGTGAAGCAGTCAAGTGTAGCAGGACACAAAGAAGGCTGTGTGTATTTAAAAGCAAGCTGTTGTAGATACACCTTACCATTTCCCTGAAAAAAAGAGAGCCATATCAGGATCCAACTTATCACGCATAAAGTAGTTCTTTTCTTTCATCTCTGATCTGAGAGTTTGTCCCTTAATTAAGTATATATTAGCCATATAAGGAATATTCCATACTCCTCTGTAAAAAAAGAAAAACAAAAACAAAAAAACAAACCACAAATACAAATAGTTTAATGCCATGAAAACTAATTTGTTACCTATTCTGTCAATGTCTCTCTTTGCTGGCAAGACTAAGCAAGTTTCAGGGAAATGAAGCTGAAAGGTTTCCAAGACATTTGAAAAACTACAGCTGGACACTGTGGACATCCTAAACGTATGCATAGGTAGTAATTCAACTTTTATGAAGTATTGTGACAAAAAATAGAAAGGTCGAATCCTCTAAAGAGTTCTAGCTACAAACATACTTCATGTTTCCATAGTTAAGGCAATCAAACCCTTTTATAGTATTCTACACCACCAGATGGAGAAAGTAATTCTAAAACAGATTTTTAAATTAGTTTAAAGACTTCACTGAGGCTTCACACAGCTCGTCTGACCTCCTCACACAAATACTCACAGACCACAGCAGGCCACGTATTTATGTGAGTGAGGCCAATATCAACAAAAAAGCATTGCTGCCACAATGCTCACTCTGCAGATTTCCTCCCTCCCAGCGCCACGAGCACATCTTTCAGTGCAACTGAAAACGAGCCAGTCCTATTCAAGCAGTCAATCTGTTTCAGACCTTTTTGTTCTTCCAGGGCAAGGAAAAGGCATCACCACACAGGAAAGTCAAGCTTAGAACAACTTACATCACACTCATTTAGGGGAAGAACAAACCGAAAAGGCTATGTGACAAGAGTGTTTCTCAAGAGCTCCTTAGGAAATATTTGACATAACATACAGAAAGAAATCACAGCTGTTCAGTTGATTAACCTTTTGTTTCAAAGAGATTAAGAACTCATTTGATGAATGCAACAATCATTTCTTTTGACTGAGGTTCCTGGGATACAAAGTTTTGGGTTTGCTATTTGTCTGTCTTGCCATTTTCTGTATTATGCACTGCTAGAGCAAACAGACACAATCAGACAGGTTCTAGTAATGACTATGTCCATTACTAATACTAGCTCATTGGGTAAACACTTTTGCTTTTTTATTCAGGCTGTGAATGGGAAAAAAACAGTGGGAAAACAAATGTATTTCTATGAAACAGAAAAAGCTAAACACTATAACTAACCTAAGCTCTTCAGGAATAATACCATATTGCATGAAAATGTAAGAGTATGTTGTTAACAACCATACTGGGTGCCTTGACTTTAAAAATTAGCTTACAATTACTTACACTCTGTTCCCCTGGACAATATCAATATAATCTTCTGATCGGGCATAATAGCCATCCGGGCTCAAAGCACCCCAGAAATTGGACCAAAGCTTCCCATGACGAGTTACAAGTGGAGCAATTATCTTTCTGTGAAGTGACATATTGAATAATATGAACTGTTATACATAGACTATACATCAAAATATACCAGCTTTACTCAGTTTGGAGTATAGTATAGTTAAAATACCAATGACTGTCAAATTTTGGAACAGCTATTCTGAACTCTAGCTGCAAGAAACAGCATCCAAGCACCCACTGCCCAGAAACAACATCAGTGTAACAGAAGAAAAGATTCCAATAAATCTGTGGTGGCTTGATTTTCAGTCAAGCAAAAAAATACTGCCTATAGCATAATGGCAAAAGTCATGAGAGGAAAAAAAAAAAGAGAACGAACATACCCCCCCCCAAAAAAAAAAAAAAACAAACAAACAAACAAAAAACCCCAAAACACAACACAGTGAGACTTGGCTTACCCAAAATTTAATAGAGTAATATCAATAGAGAGAGGAAATCTAAGTTGACCAGAATAAAAAGAATAAAATGGCACTTTGTTTCAGAGGGTACTTACTGATAGATATATTTTGCAAGGCTTCTGTTTCTTCCACGTAGTGTACCTGGCTTTTAGCCTTTTTCTACAACACTAAATATTACAAGGAATATAATGCAAAGGACTGGCAGCCACATCTTTACTTAAGCTCCATCCGTTCTCACTAGTAGGTCAAAACAGACATTGATAATTTATCTTTCTGTGATACACCTGAGATTCCCAGATTTGTTACAAACGGGCAAACACTATCTACCTACCTAATATGGGAATTTACAAATTGGAAGGAGCGAAGTGCACAGCATTCACAGCAGGCCCACTCTGCTGAAAGCTGAGTCACAGCTTTGTATAACTTAAGAGATTATATTAATAAAGGAGAAACTGGTCATTACAGCTGTTTCATCTCCAATACCATTCCACTATTTTATTGCATCTATGATTTAAAAAGAAAGTAATAATACTGCAGTACTAGAGGAGTAAACTCCAAGGAATTTTTGTTTGGTTTTGTTTTGGGGTTCTTTTTGTTGTTTGGGGTTTGGTTTTGTTTCCTTTAACATCTTTTGTGTGACCAACTTTGAAATCATTAGTCAGTGAAATCTTAGTTCATTTCATAAAACCTGCTTACACCGTACCATTCTCTTCAGAGGAACTTTGAAGCATTTTAAATTCACATCAGGAATTGCTGTTTGACAGGAACAAAATGCTTTGTGAATTGTTGGCCTCCAAGCCTGTTATGAACTATGGTAACCAAATGCCACAGGTAAACAAAGAGGATTTAACTCTGCAAGAACAGACGGGATCTTATTTTCTCTGGATGGGCCCCAGAGAATCCTTTCAAGCTAGAGGAAATTCTATAAAATCAAGAGATATACTGCACCTGTTCTGTTCTATCAGTATTCTTAAAGTTTTGGGGTTTGTCAACACAACATCTGCATCTATGCTGAAGTAATAGTCACATGCTTTATCCTGGCGACAAAGGTCCCTAAAAAGACAAAAAACAATGGTTAACTTGCACACGTCCACAAAATATTCATGAACAACAAACCAAAAACTTTAAAAAACCCAAACCACAACCAAGTGCTCTACTCATACATTGCGTTAAAAGCCCTCTGCAGTGTAGTACTGTAAAAAAGAGAGGTGTCTTTAGATTACAGTAGTGTGATAAACTTCATGAAGTTCAGCAAGAACTACTTACTATGTGCTGTCCTAATAGAAAATGGGGGGATGGAGGAGTGGGGAAATCAAGCCACTACTTTATATAGCTGGATATCAGTACAGTCACTTAACAGTGAAGTATGAGCTTATTAAGTAAGCATCTCTAGTAAGTAACTGCACATGGCTGTAGCACTCTCCTTGGACAAAGATGCTACAGATGTTATCTGCTGATCTGAATAGTAATTGAAACCTTACAGAGAGTGTAAGACAAAAAGTATAAAGAAATATATATTTAAAGAATTTTTCTTAGTCTTTTTGTGACCTACAAGCATAACACAGTTGGTAAAGAGAAATATAAAATAATTGCATGGGTAGTGAATGGAAATCAGAAAAAGGAATTGAATTTGTCCCATATACTATTTCTATCAGTTGTGATTTTGATCTCAGAAGAATAAACTAGTTGCAAACATTCCCACATCTTCAAGAGAAAGCTTCCATCAAGCAGAAGACACATTCTACTATAAATATAAAAGTAAGATGCACAGAGTACATTTGTACGTTTCTGGCAGGGTACACTTGCTAGGCCAAGATCCAGTACAGTGAATTCAGCTTTCCTATGCCAACAGAATAGTAGGAGATTATAGTAAATCAAATATACTTTTAGAGAAAGCGGAACAATTTCCTCAAGTCATACTACAGTAGTAGCTTTCTATCATGCAGGTGACATTATTGACTTTGTCTATTTTCCTCACTGTTAGTGAGAGAACTTGCATTAATTCCATTGTAACAGCTTGAAACATTAAAATAATTTCACTTTCTTGCTTTAAAATGCCTATAAACACTGTTTCAGTTTAAGTTCTACTTGGGTTGATTGTTCGTGACTGTTTTCTGCAAAGGAAGATGATCTCTGTCACTTCAGAAGATCTGATAAACAGTGGATGTGACAGGCTACACACAAGTCAAGGCAACTTCTGGCAGGGCTTCTTGCCTGCTTCTCCGTTCCTCTCCACTACCTAGCACAGTGCTTCAGTCAGCGTTTTGTCTGTCTCTCGTAAGGATTACTACTTATCAACACCTTCTGGGGTTTTTTGTTCAAACTTTCTTCTGCATAAAGGGCTTTACAGGTGTGACATTGTTGAAATCACAGTAGAAGGTAAAGCTTTTTTATTTGATAAATTTAAGCAATCCTTCCTCTTCAAGCTCGATCACTAAAGATGTAGTAATGATTTAAGCCAAATTTTTAAAATATAAAAATGAGAGAAATGGTCTTCCCACTACTGCTGAAGTCACCATGTCTGGACACACACCCATAGTTTAAATCTTTGGTCAGTCTCTGGTTTTGCCTTAACTGACATCTCTTTCACTGACACATTTTTTTATCTTTTGTATACATGTTTTTATGACAGCATTTCCTTAATCAGCACTTTCTTGCATAATTGCCCCATTTGAAACCAGCAGGTTTTATTTTGGCCATAATACAGTCCAGCAATTACATCTTTATGGCATTGTCCTTTACTAGCCTATTCCGTTCAAAGCTTAACAACTACTGAACATAATTGACATGCAACTTTATCGTTAGCAGAACTACAATTATTAATAGTAACCTGACTTTTATATTGCACTTAACATTAGATGTTAAATTTCTTCCAAAAACATTCAGCTACTTTATCCACATTCTACTAAAATGGAAACTAAATCTGAGAGACCAGTAGACTTGATGTCAGTCCAGGGTTCCAGCCACAACACTGGCCGGCACCTCCCCAAAAGCAGCTAAACCTTTCGCTGCTAACAAAAATATGAATGGAATTAATGTTTTTAATTATGAAAATATGAAAAAATAAATGGAATGGATTTAGATTTATTTGTAGGCAAACATTTCTGGAAAATTGATTACATAATTTCAAAATGTATGGTACTTCAACTTTTGCCTTTCCCCCCCAGCTTTAAATCCAGAGTCAGAGAACTCTATTAAAACCGGTCCAATGTGTTTAGTGTCAAAAAATCCTTCTGTTCTTCATTCACACAGTAATCCAAAACACAAAATACTGAATTGAAAGTTTTGGTCTAAGTCACACTCAGTCATTCAATAATCTATTGAGAAATCCTCGAAAGCATTACTGCCTTAAATAGTCTGGAAACTCAGCTGCAGTACAAATCACCTACAACGTGAAACCTCTAACTTCCATCTCTGTAACCAAGAATATTTAATACATGTATTAATATTAAATATATATTTTTATGTGTGTATACAGATATGAGGCCAAAAAAATCAAGGTTACTATTCTGATCATACTTTGACTCATTTTTTTTTCTCTATTTCCTTCTATACAGCATTATAGACTGGATACCCAAATGGCAAAACTTCATGTTTAAAGCATAATTCTCCTTGTCTTTCCAGATACAAGTCACCATGTCAAGTGTGTACTATAAGTTCTGCCTTTGCACTTTAAGGTCACTAACAAAAATCTCCACAAAACACTTCAGGTTTCAGATATACAGAAAAAGAGTTGCAAAAGTTTCTGTCAAAATCAATAAAGCAAGCCTACTCTTCAGAAATTCATGCACCTTCTCTTTAAGTTTTCAACGTTGCCAAGTAGCTTTCTCAAGGAAATAAAAGTAATCCTGGATATTCTCATGCTTTAAAGTATTACCTTCGTACAGTGTATGCTAACCTCTCCAAATGTAGAAATCCCAGATTGTACGTGAAACTATTTATTATGTATACCGATGTCACAGCAAGAAACAAGCAGAAAGTGCTTTCTAGCAATACACATATGTACAGCAATACACTTCCTAATCTAAATTCAGCAGCTAAAACCTTTAATCTGCTTGCTTTACACTCCACCTGCTTATAAACTAAGACCAAATGTTGAAAGAAAGTCATGTTTTTGTATGTAAGTTAAAGCCATTTCAGTGTAGAGATTAACAAAAATTTCGAAGGCCAAGATTTTTTTGTTGGAAGTGTGAAATGAAGCTCAGCAGATCAATTTAAGGTATTTTGCAATCAGAGCAATGTTTAACTTTGCTTACAAACCGCAAGCCCATCTGGAATAGTGACGTCATTTGAAAAGAGAACGTGTCACCACTCTTCTCTTCAAACTTTCCACTGAGGTAATTCCAAGGTGCTAGCTGGTTATAGCAGTAAGACATATGGTCTACCCAGTTTCGTTACCATTGAGTCACTTACTTTATCTTTTTCTATACATAGTTTGAATTCACAATTAATCAAATTATCATTTTGATAAGCCTTACTGTTCAGAAATACAATTCCAAGTGTGGATTGTGAGCCCAAAGGGAGAGCACTTACACCATTTGACAGACGTCTGAAAGAAAAGGTGCCCCAGATACAAGTCTGCAATACTCACTGAAAGACTGGGTGACATTGCCTGTCATTTAGAGTTACATTTTGCATCTCTCCAGACAGCCACAACAGTACAGTGCTCTTATCAACCATCACTAAAATCAAATAAATGTAGCCACAAAATAGATAAAGCACTAATGTTTAGTTTTGCTTCTCAGGCTTAAGTATTGTTACCACAGTTACCACACCTGGAAGCTACTGAAATCAGATACGGGTGGAAAAGTTGTTTTTCTTCTGCAACACTCAAAGTTCAAAATGTTCCTCCTCCTTCTGAGTCTGAAACCCAGAACTGCTGAAGTGTTTGAGAGAAGGACCTCCAGAAAATCCAAATCTCCAACAGAAATAATCTGTGTCTCCCAGATGTCAAGTTTAATGCCAGCTCTTCCTTCAGCCACTGCCAATATATTTGCCCTACTTGAAGTGGTTAAAGGGAGTCCTCCTGTGTCCACATCATGAGTTATCAATACCAAATGGGAGCTCAGAGACAGTGACTCAATACCCTCTTTCAAGAAACATATAGGAGACCCCAAATTCAGCTCAAAATTCAACACTGAGGTCAATGAACTCTCTCATTTTGATCTCTCTACTATTCTTTCTGAAACTTTTGAAAGCTTTCAATGTAAACTTTCTTTAAAATGTGTGCATTCCCACTAGAAGTTGAGATAAATCACATTTTTAAAGTTCAGGAAAAATCCTAGCTAGTTTTGCTACTAATATTTTTGAGGGAGGGAAAAAAAACCACACCACAAACTCCTCAAAAAAGAAACCCTGAAGACTAAGTACTGGGGGAAAAAAAGATTATGGAAAATAAGCTTTTCATAAATAAAACCTCAGAGAAGTGATTTCCCCACTTTATATTATTGCTTGAACACATTTCATATTGTTATTTTACATTTTCTGTCATAACAAATTCTGTAACAGCTGGCTGAAGTCCCATCTCCAAACAAGGCAAAACTACAAATGAGTTTTTTTCTTAAAGAAAAAAAGAACCAACTATAAGAACTCTTTCATATTCCTTGTAGATAATGGATGAAGGAAAAAAAAAAAAATGAAAAGGAAATGCTATTTTAGGGTTTCAAGTGATGTATGTGCAGAGAAAATACTCAGACAACATGCAGCTAAACTTTCTTTCTCTTTGTTCTATTTTATTTTCCTCCCTTTTTACTCTATTTCAGCCCACAATAAGGAAAGTTGTCCCCTCCTGTTTGCCAATACTGTTGAATTGTAACAGGTTTTTGCTGACTGAACAATTCTGGGTCCTTTCCAGCACCTGTCCAACTTTCACAAGCACAGGAAAGGGTTCTCCATGTCAAGAAGTAGTAAGAAAGTCAATGCTTTATTTATTCTTTATTTATGTGAATGAGAAAAGTAGACAGAGGGTTGCTGCATGGCTATGGGTGAAATAAAAGAAACGTTATTTTCTCACTTTTATATTGATGTAAGAGAGTGTCATTTACTGAGAATCTCAATTGTGTTTTATTACCGCTTTTTACTGAGCCAAAAATGGGAAATAAAAAAATAGGTAAGGAGAAAACTGACCTAACTGCGTTATATACACAAAAGTATTCTGCTGAAAACAAACCAGATCTTCAATGCTTAAGTTCTCTCTCTCTGTATTATTTGAAGTCTGTTTTGTTGCCTCAGATAGATTTTTTTTGTGTGAAATGTGTAAGTGAGGAGACCAAATTAATTCTAAATCTACGGGGAAATTACCAGAGAGATACTAAAATCAGCTAATTTGGAAAAAGAGAGAAAGCAAGTGTTTGAGGCAGATGGAACAAAACTATCAATCAATAATGCAGATAGAGGCAGGAGAAAATTAATCAGAAGACTGAATATATCAATCTCTGTAAATCAAACCATTAAAAAGGTTTGAAGAATCACTCTTTTCAAGTTACTCCCATCGCCATATTAGTGAGAAACAAATGAGATTATGATGTTAGAAACCAGCTTAAGGGTTGAAAGCAAGTAATTTTTTTTATAGTAACTGCCTTTGCCATGAACATCCTGTACTTCCGAGCTAGATATTTTTTTGAGGAAAAGTAAGATGCAGTTGTTCCAGAGAAGCTGGTGATGTTCACAAGGGCAGCCAATAAACTGAACCTGTTTCAGTCAAATTGAAAGGAGCCATCAAATTACATCTACATTGTTCACATGAAAGATTCTGTTACAAGCACTCATACTTTCGGGATGATTCACTATTTTGGCATGGTCTCATTCCACATGCATCATACTTCACGTTTTGTCTATATGTTATGTGTTTCTCTAGGACAGAATCTTTATTAAAGAGGCCTTTCAAAGCAGGAGTAACATGGGTCAAATTATATCCAGACAATGGATAACACACCTGAGTGGACTGGATCCAGTGGTATGCATCACAAGTATGATATTCTCCCCGCCTTATATAACAGAATTTGAAATTATTTTGTGCAAATATATACTTAAATTACTATTTTTTTATCCACAGATCAAGCAAAGACCATATACCATATCAAAACCTCTGTCACATTATAAGTCAGTAGGTTCTATCAAAAGAAGATAGGTTTAAAGATCTTTGGGTTAGATTTAGTAAGAGTCTAGAAATTGATTACTCAAGATTCTGCCTTAAGGTGTCTATATAATAACAAAGAGGAAAAAGTGACTCCAGAAATTCCACCTCAGTTACACTTAACAGACACTACTTCAGAAAGTTTGCAAACATGGTACATTTGCTTTAGAGACTATTAGAAATAAAGAAAGAATGATTTATAAACATGTGAATGGCTGCTTACACTAACACTGGAAACACTGTAGTGTTTCCTAGAAAAGCTACAGGAGAGGCTTGGACCTCAGCCAAGCATCACTTTCCCAGTGGCTTCTGCACAACAAAACCCCATTCAAACAAATTTCCAAGACCACCACAGAGACTCAGGACTAGACCTTCATTCTTTCAGTTGATGTCATGAACAGCCTATGCTATGCTCTTAACCTCTGAATATAAAAGAAAAGGGCCTTTTGAAATTAATTTCTCTGCTCTAACGCTCATGGAAGATTTGGGAGAAAAGAGAGTGGAAGAATTATGTGAGAATGAAGCCTGCTCAACGTCCACAGCAAGGTCTTGGTGGGATCCTGGTCTGTAAAACTCCATAATCTGACTGATGGACAGACTGGAAGAGCCACAAGCAATTCTGTGGTAGTAGCCAGTGCTGCAGCCACTAAAAAAAACCCTTGACGGGCAGGTCTGACGTGAGATACATACTCCCAGGTTCAGACTTAGGTCTGGCAAATGCCAGGTTTAAAAGCTAAAGATTTAAATTCCCTAGTAAAAACAAAAGGAAAAATGAGAAAAAGAAAAACAAGCAAGACCAAGGATAAGATAAAGTTCATTGCCTTTGCAAGTCCTTTTTTTTTTTTTTCCTGAGAGCAGAAACTTCTGCTAGAGCATGTCTAAAGGATATTTCTATCACTTTGAACCATAGGAAGAAATATAGTTCTGTCATCTGTATGGCCAGGTCAAGCTTTAACCATATTTTTACTTAACTGTAATGTCATTTAAAAAAAAAAAAAAAAAGGAAGGACTAGGACAACAAAAGTGCAATTGTTAAATGCATATCCAATGCAAGAGGTATTTCTATTCTGTGAAATCACACTGTGATAAGTTAGCTTGAAAAGGTTTTGGATAAAAAAATAAAACCAAATACATTTTTAGATTTGCACCTGCTTCCACCTTTTTTTTTTTAAATTACTGCTACATATAATTTTCTCCACAAACTTTTTATTAAAGTTTGTTGTACTCTACCATCTATTTTACTTCAATAGCATTCTTTTAAAAAATTTTTAAACTTTACAGTTTATACTCATCATGTTTTAATATATACTCATGTTTGAGATAACTATAATGTAAAAATAATCTGAAACCTCTTATTTCTTTGCAGTCTACTGTTCTGTATGTTTTCATTAGAAGGCAAGATGACAGACTACCAAAGTAGTCCAAATCATAGATGTTTTCAATGACCAACAGTTTTTTATATTAGACAGAAACCATAAAATACTCAACAGTTCATAACTTATATCTAGATTTTGTTCTACCACAAAAGCTCCCACTTTTGTATCTTAAGATGTAAAGTTGTTAGTGTGTAAGATGCAAAATAATATACATAACAGATGAAATAATGTTAGCATACACATCATTATAACAGATTTATAAATTAGAATTTACATTCCCATGTTCCGGGCTTCTGCTTGACTCAGATTTTCTTCAGGTCCAACAATTTTTATATTTCCGATAATGTTCTTGGCTTTTTCCCAGAATTTCTTGATGTGCTTTTCATGGTAAACTTCCTGTAATCATGTTAACATTGTTTATAGTGAATGAAAAGTACTAGTTGCTGTGAAGTCATAAACATAGTGTCCAAGAACATACTGTATTCTATCCTAAACAAACAGATGGCAAACAGTATTTGAAGATATTCCAGTATATCTGTCATTAAAATGAAGCTCTTCTGTCCAAAATTTTAGCGAAAGAATCTAACATATCAGCAATATAAATCAAAGCTGTACCTCCAGACCAATGATGCAAGATTCACACTGTTTATGCAGTATTTTTCAGGATATTTATTTTACCACCTTCAAAACCCACCCTACAACCTCAGTGGCACACAAGAGTTTTTTATGCCACTCCAGAATGGTTTTAGAGAGGGAGCTGCCACCTGTAGCCGGGTGGACAGTCACAGTTATTGTTTCTTTAAAATACAGTCACAGTGATTATTTCTTTGATTTCCAATTACCCTACCTCTAATTTAAGAGACCTCAGCTGCATGCAATGCTTCCAACCCAGTGCCCTCACTTGTAGCTTTTGCGTATTATGGCTGACATTAGAATCATTAAAATATTGGGTAGGGTTTCCCCCCTCTATGATAAAAAAGCTATTCAGTCTTTTATATTGATTTCAAACACCATATGACTTCTGGCTGAAGCAACAAAACCTAGCACAGCCTACAATTCTTATGTGCGTATCACATTTACACCTTTAACATCCCCTCACAAAAGCACACTGAAGACTTTAAAGATAAGCTCTACTTCTGTTACTTAAGCCTTTTGTGCTATGATATCAACAGTAAAGCATGCCAAGTGAAAAAGGGTGGAATTATATTTTCCTCCCATTTCTCTTCCAGCCTAGTTTTTTTTCCAAAAGACATACACACATCTGTGATCTCACTCATGAAAATAGCAATACTGAAGCCACCGGTGAAGTATCAGCAACACCGGATCATTAGGTAATTAGCAAAAGGCATTCAAAAAATATTCAAAGCAGCAGCTTATCTGTACTGCTATTCAAAATACACCTGGACACACCAGTCTTTCCGATGGCACCCAGAAGGAGAACCAAGAGAAACATAAATGCACCAGGGTATCAACAAGATGAAAAGTAAATTCAATGTCAGGTATTGGATAATAGTTATTGACATGCTATAACTTTTGTTCAGTTGTGAAGTGGTCAGGCAGTTGGCCTAGATCATCATTGCAGGTCCCTTCCAACTGGAACTGTTCTGTTCTTATTCTACTCTATTGTTTTATGTCAATCATTAGTAAAAGACAAAGAATCTAGCAGTTTCTTTAAGCAAGCTTCAGTAAGCACTGCCACAATTTCACTTAATTGGTGCATTTTTTCCACTTCAGCATACTAAATTCTGAAAGATTTTCTCTTCCTATACAGTTTAACTATGTACACATATAGAATCCATATACTACTTCACACACTTTCATTCATACCCTAATTTCCCAAATTGAAGCTTTGCACAATAGTAACATCATACTCACGTTATTATGAATGAAGATACTGAGTGCTTCCTTTGGGTAGTCCAGAGTCAACAGTCTGTCTAAAAATTTAGGTAGGAAAGGAGTGGGTTGTTCAATGAAAACACCAATTTTTACTCTTGGATATTCCTAAAAAAAAAATATTATATTTTCACATAACAAACAAGACTTGCCTCCTTTCTAATATTAGTTATATTAAAAAGCAACTAATGTCATGTTATAGTAACTTAGGTCACTTTAGCTTTCAAACAAATCAAAACCAACTAGCTCAAAAGTGCTATGCCCTCTGTTTATTTTCACTTACTTCACTAAATACACAAAGATAACGGATTTGCTATTGCTAGTCAACTCTTTGAATTCCAATAACAGAAACTGGAATTAGAAAATTATGTATTATGGCTTTTAAAATTCTAACGTTAAAAAAATATTAGAACAGCAAAAAAGTATTTAAGGAAATACACCTAGAACTGCATGGCAAATACATTTTTTGAAATTAACATACGTATATATGTTACATTTACAAGAAAATATAGGGCAGACCAGGTTTTTGAAAGTAGTTAAATAATAAATACCATAAAATATTTCACTCATCTGTACTTTAAACTAGACTGCAATACCCTTTCATACACTTCTATGCACTATTTCACCTGAGCATTATAAGTGGACTCTCCATTACTTCCCTACTCATTGATTTTATGAAGATCTTTAAACTTCTCCCCTTGCATACAAGGATACTGAAGGTTTATTAACCTTATTTTAACGTGAATTCACATCTTTTGAACAGTGGTATTAATTCCTGGTTTGTATGTGCTTGATATAGAGATCATGACTATCACTAAAGGATCACAGAGAAGGACTGGTGGGAGATGTGGT